GTAATAATTTCCCAGTCCAGTTTTTTTCTACTTAAAAAATTAGTTGTAACATACATCAGATATATTTTATTATTCTAAAAGAGCACCACAAATACAAAATTAAAATAGTTTTGAAAATACGAAAGTTTTCATAAAACACAACTGAAACTGATTTTTTTTTCACGTCTTATTACAGCATGAAGTTTCACTGTAGATCTGAGGACAAAATTTAAGTATTTTGTCTTGCATCATAAATTAGTCATACTTTTGTCGGATAAAGAATGGTAATTTACTACATGGGGTGTTAGATTTGCCAGAATGAGATTGCGACACTGCGGCAGGTTTATTAGAAACAGATGCTGTTGCATTTTCGACCGCCGGTGCCGGTCGCTAAAACCCGAGTTTATTGAGTCAATGATATTGAGATGCCGCCGAAAGTCCAGCCCTTTGCAGCAAAAAATTCGTAAATAGCAATGAACTATCGATCTTGGGATTACCGCACATTTTCGAATTTTTTATTTCAGAATGTAATTTGGGCAATAATATAAAAAAATCTAATAAAAAAAATGTTCGTCTGACCGGACCGGGCCCCTTGAAGCAGCGCGCCCGTGTTCCAGCGAACACATGGAACACCGGTAGTTACGCCACTGGTTCGTGCAGAAGAAAAATTGTGTGTTAACTTCAGTTAGTTAAAATTTGGTGGTAGTGAAGTTGCACAGAGAGTTCTTTCGTTGCACTACAACAATATTCACAGGTAACTCAAAAATTGTCAATCCTGAACACTTAGACGTGTTTAGTCATTTTTTTCAAAAAACCAAAAATCAACTTACTCCAGTAGGTCACAAATAATGTTGATAAAATGTTTTGTTGAATTAAGCCTTGCGTGGAAAAGAAATGCCATTATCCAAATTTAAAGCTGTTATTTCTTTCTGTTGTTCACTTTCAAAATTTAGGAACATAAAGAAAATTTATCTGAACTTTATTTGGTGGTTAAATTACTTGCTGAGGTTTTATAACATGAACGAAAATTCTAAAATGAACAGTTAAGAAATTGATAAAAAAAGGGGTTTCACCACAAATAGAATAAAAAAAAAGGGGGACGAATTTAATTACATACAAATTTTGGACGCATAATGAGTAAATTTCATATGCGTACTACTCCATTGCGTAAATTAATTGGGACTGTTTTTTTTAACGTGGACCGTCTTTGCTAATTGTTGAATGCCTGAAATTACGAGCTCGTTTGCCACCGCGGGATACACAAAACAAAACATACACACACAAAGAAAAAAAACAGAAACAAAAAAAAGGAAGTTGTTTCTCAAAAAATCAACAGAGCGCTAGAAACGTCCTATAACTATAGAAGCCCCGTTTCCCGCTCAAAACATCATTTTTTTATGTAAGCGAGCCATTCGTTAATAAACTGGCCAATTCGTCGATGGTGCCGTTGTATCAACCCCATCGCAATTCGCCGAGGCGCGTTCACATAAATCGCGGGTTCTTTTGGTACGCCTCGTTCCGAGAAATGTTTTTTTTAATGATCACCTGGCGAGATAGCATGTGAGGGAAGGTATTGCGTAAAAGTAACTTTTGCTCAGCGTAATTAATACTCGATTTTGCTCGCGTTGCTAGGGCGAAACTAAACGTGTGGCGTGAATTAACCCTTTCATAAGCGCTAAGCGAAAGCGAAATATTGTCGACAGCGTAGCTTCGGATGATAGGGCGTAGTACTTGTGGCAGCGTCACGATTTGATGTAATTAGAGAAATTTATTATTTTGTTGGTCGTTTGCATTTCTCTTGGAGCGGAGCGAGCTAAATGTACCTGTTGTTAGGGCTGAAAATTTGTTTTCTTATCGCTCATCTACTTGAAAAAAAAAAAACAAATAAATAAGACAATTAACTTAAAGAAATTATAAGAATATAAAAAAAAAACTCTTAACTAGATGAAGAAACTCGTAAATAGTAAATAATAATAGTTAGTAATACTTTGTTCTAAAAATATTCAAACACTAACTCTCTGAAAATTGTTGAAGAAAAATTCTCTTAGTAACACAAATGACCTCTCTTTGTTGACCAAATCATATTTAGGGGTACAATATTGATGGATTGCCTCTGTTATTTTATTATCTTTAATGTCCGAAACTGTGACTGGAAATATGTTGATTTCTGTGTGATTTTATTAATAAATATGTAAATTGAAGATAAAATCTGCGTTGTCTTTAAAAGATGTTCTCCCATGCGTTATGACACTACTTTATAAAACAAATCTGGAACTTTAGTGGTAAATTTTGTAAAAGGAAAAAAAACTATAACATTAGTGCAATTGTTATTAATAAGACACAAAGTAGGGTAAGTGAAATTTTATTTTATTTTGTTTAATTTGCGACAAATGACGATCACAGGTCTAATCACTATAACGTTACAATATTCGATTTTTTTCTGGTGTCTCCGTAAAAGAGGGGACTTGGGTAATTTTGTTTTTCTTCATTCTTTGAAGAATAATTTGTTATCTCACAACACTACCGAGGGCGTTATCGAAAAAGATAAGTTTTTTTCAATGGAAAAAGAATTAGATTTCCCTATTGCTATCAAGGGCATTGTTGAAAGGGACGATTCGCAGTTAACAGAAAACGATTTAATCACCTCTATTACTATCTTTATTTTTTAATTAAATCTGTCTTAATTGGCACACCTACAACGGATAAACAAGTTTTTAGCGATTGCACATCTTCCAGGTCAACAAGTTTCTTTTTACTGCGTTATTTCTAAGCTGTCAATTGTTGAAAAACCTGTTTCTCGAAAAAATGACAATTGATAATTATAGTGTCTCAGTGCGATTAAGAAAAGATAAAAACAAAAGTTTTTGCAAAGTCACAAACAACGAAAGGCTCGAATTACCCACAAAATATAAAAAAGTTCCACCTATAAATGCATTAAATGTTTGCAATGATTAATTTTTTAATAGGGAGCAATAAATAAAATTTATTGTTTTAAATCATTCAATGAATGCAACTTAATTTAAACAAACAATTAACAACTATTATTTATTATTAAACACGTCAGATTGTGCAAAAATATTTTTGTAACGTTTTACAGGAAACGACTAATTTTCTACATAATCACTCGAGTAGCACCAACACCAACAACTTCGTCTGAGGATCGCAAACCGTGCTCGAACACAACTCCGAAATCAGCTTGAACCCCATCGACCTCAACAATGTCGTAAAATTGCCGGCGGTCTTCAAACCGTCTCTCACCACCTCCAGAATAAATCTCTTGTGCTCCTTAGATTGCACGTGGGGGCTGTGCAACAACGTGTACAGCTCGGGAATGGTGGAAAAATCTAGCGCGTCCTTCCCCCCCAGGTACTGCGACAGCGGCACGTACATCACCTCCGTGGGTTGCGTGAGCACCAGGGCAGTCCGTGCTAAGTAAACCCCCACGAAATTGTTTATTTTGAAGTCGTCCAAAACCGCCACGCCTTTGCAGACGGCCTCCACGAAGCGCAGCCACAGCTGGTTGTCTTTGCCGGTTTGGCGGGCCTCCGGATGGAAGTAGAAGCGCTGCAGGATGTGGCAGGTGGCCAGTATTTGGTTTTTGTCGTCGCGGAAGCCGGTGAGGGATAGAGCGAGGGCTCCGCTCTTGGTGAACTTGTACGTGGTGATTGGGTTCTCTGGGGCTAGGATGTGGCTGAAGAGGGGTAGGAAGTAGTCCAGGTCGTAGGAATCGGGGTGCAATGGGTCGCTGATTGTTGCCGAGATAATACGGAGGTGGAGGTTGTTTAGGACGTCGGCGGTTTTGGGTTGGCGCCAAAGGACCTTCTGGACGTCGGAACGCACAGAGTAGTGGGAGGCGGCGGCGCGGCCCCACAGGAAGGGCTTGAAGTCGAAGAATTTGGTCTGGTCGGGGCGGAATTCGTACCTGGAATAATTTATTTAAGACGTGTGGTAGGTGGATTGAAATTCACATGTCACAAAATGGTCCAGAATTAGAAGATTCGTGTTTTTTTATGGTTTTATTCTCTTTCAGTGACGCACGAGTGAAAAACATGTGTCGATAGAAAAACTAAACTTTCTTGTTAATGAGAACGGTAATTACTCACTTCTAATGTCTCATTATAGATCATTTTATTTCAGTCAAGGTATTTAACTTAATTTAAGATTGTATTATTGCAGGTCTTTACAAGACTGCTTTCTCGATGAAAGTGGGCGTTTTTTCCCTAAGTAAATTATCTCATTTACTGTTTTTTAACAAAACTGTTTCTTTATGAAGTCCATCCATAAGACTGAACGCATTTAATATTCTATTTGGAAGACAAGAGACCTTAGGTCGATTAAACACAAATTTGAAATTATGGGAGTTAAAATAGCAATGTAAGAAAAAAAATCGGGGTCCGACGTGGGCGCGCCGGGCTTTCGTATTTCTGCCCCCTCTGACCCATTGGGTGCACATCTTGGATTAGGTACATGCGAAATGTCAAATGTGAGGTGGGGGCGGGTTTTTGCAAAGAAACCGCCGCCAAATTGCTTTTTGCTAATTTCAACGCAGAAAATGATGGGATGTGGAGGAACACACAGGTATCGGGGATTTGGATGTTTCGCCCGCGTCTAATTAAGAGAGTGGGCGGAAAGAAGTTCACGCCCCGTGGAACCTGATATTGAGAAAGTTGTTATTTTGATTAATTTGATCGGAGAAAAACGAGACACTCGGAGGCGGTTTTGGACACTCGATAAATTCTACGTTTTGAGAGTTTTATAACGAAGAATGCAAAATATTTTTTGATGCAGGTCATTGACAAAAAAAACAACCATAAATATGTCATTCAAAATTAGCAACAATTTTAGCTGAAATTCAAAATTCTTTTTGAATTTAAATTGAATATTAATCTCGTGTTTTTTGCAAAATTTATTTATTAAACCCTTCTTACTGAAGTATGTTAGGTGACCTTTTTCTGCCAGTTACGTAATCACGTAATCGGACGAATCAATTCATGAACAGCATATTTTCGACTAAGGAATAATTTTAATTATGTATAAAATATATATTCTTCTTTAAAATAAACAATACTGTATATACATTGCAAAAGCCTGGGAAACTATGTACAAAGACATATTAAGGTTCATCACGATCAAGTTAAAGGTTTATTTGATGAGTTTTTCTTCTTTTCCTCGTTGAAAATGGCATTCATTTCTTGTCTTGCTTCATGCAGATTTTTCAATAAGTTCGCCCAAATTACTACAAACTGAAGCCATCAAAGGTCTTTGCTTTTTTTCCTGCAAACAACTTTGGGCAATTTCGTATAATTTCTGCCCAAAATTTATTTCGTTAGCAGACCAAGAACCTACTGACACATCTAACAAGGGCGTTATGTCATCACTGCAAGTGTCATCCACGTGTGTTACCTAAAATAAACAAATCATAAAAGAAGTTGCTTACATTATTACTAACTAACCAGATCTTTTCCTTCTCTATTATCATCCATTGGTGGTTTAGATGTTAAAAGCTCGAGTAAAACAACCCCAAAACTAAATGTGTCTAGCTTTGGCGATACGTCACCTCTAAAATAAAATAAAAAATTTGGAGGAACACGACAAAACAAGTAAACGATGAAAGTACCTGAAAGCTTCTGGAGCCATATAAGCAGAAGTTCCTATGATTGTGGTGACAGTGTTTGTACTCTGATTTAAAGAATGTTTGATCAATCCAAAGTCACACAACTGGAATAAGGTAAAAGTGTAATTTGCGTCAAACAAAGTAGTGCTCCTAGGCGACCACGAAATACTTGAACTACTCGCACTTGTGTCGTGGTCGCCTCTGAGCCTAATTTTAATGCTACCTTTGGCTTGTTGGTAACATCCAACAAAATATTTGCACTTTTCACGTCCCTGTGAATTAAAGGTGTAGAATATGCCGTATGTAAATATGCAATAGCCCTCGCTGTACCTAAAGCAATGTATAGCCTTTCCGTCCAGATTAATTCTTTTTTTCTACAATACAAAATAAAATAAATTAATTGTATCACAAATTACTAAAATGATAACCTCCAGGCGATCTTTTAAGGCTCCTCCAACCACATACTCGTAGACTAAACAGTACGTCAAACCGTCACACGAGTAACCCAATAAAGATACTAAATTCTCATGCTTGTATTTGCTCAGGATCTCCACTTCTGTTATAAACTGCTTAGTTACCCTATCATCAATCTGTACAACCTCAGCATTCTCCAGAGTCAGTCTTTTGACAGCCACTGGTTGATTGAACAAATCTTTAGCCAAATAAACTTGGCCAAAACTACCAGAACCTAGAAACCTCCCACCCTCAATTAAAGGAATTTGATCGAATTTACAGGTGGCGTTTTCTAACTGAGCATAAGTGAAGTGTGGTAAAGGGGTATTTAGAGACAAATTAGGTAAAGGCGATGCACAAGAACGCATTTTGTTTGCGATAGAGTCCGAACCTCCCAAAAGGTGGCTTAAAGCTGGAAAATTCGAAGAAGAAGACATCGAGCTTTCTGGACTCAAGTCACTCAGAGCTGGAATAATCACCTCGCTTGAATTGCCCAAAAGTGAAGATATGTTAGGCTGAATATTGTCGCTAGAGCTGTCTTCACTCATATCTTCAACAACTAGAGGTATATTGTTGGATGAACTGCTTACATGTTCACTGTTTGATCGACAACTTTCTAAAAGCGAAGTCAAATCTGGGATCTTGTTAGGCACGTTATTATCACTTTCAACTATACTTTTAGAAAATTTAATTAAATCTGACTCAGACATTTCTTTCGTTTTGAACAACCACTGGGACGTTAAATGTGGGTTTTGCCTCTTCAACTTCAGGAGATTCGCTAATAACAATTTTAGGTATCATTTTTTGTACCTCTTTGGTTGTATAGTTGAGATTTGTGTCAACTGAATTGTGTTTACAGATGTTTTCGATTGCCGAACTTGGGTAATTAATAGCGTCCAACATTTTTTCAATTCTTTTTGTTTCGCTGTCTTCTATTTCCTCTGAGTTTAGGACAATTGGAGCTCCTGGTCCGGTAAAATTTTACAAAGAGCACTTCTCGATTTCGTACAAACTGTTTGCACAGAACTCTTCTACAGGACCCCCTGATCACGTTCCTCACCTTCAAATGTTGTGGAAATGTTTACTTTTGCCACAAAAAAATTATTAAATTTCCCATTTGCACACTCTTCAATGGAGAGTCGTTTCGAACATAACCTAACTTTTATAGTCAACAATATGGGTAGGTGTAACATCGGGTTTTTAGTGGAGGCAGGGCGCTTCGCGCCCTGCACCCCATTACAAACATACCCCTAAACGTGGCACTTCTTGCTCCGTGGATCATTTAGTTATTGGAATTCGTGCGAGTTCAAGTGTGTGTGTCGTTGGTTGCCTACATGCGGCGCAACTAATAGGGTGCAAACCATAGAGTGAACACTAAATATTTTTTTGTGACACAAGGAAGCATTTCCACAACTTTTGAAGGTAAGGAACGTAATCAGGGGGTCCTGTAGAAGAGTTCTGTGCAAACAGTTTGTGCGCAATCGAGAAGTGCTCTTTGTAAAATTTGACCCCTGGTCCTTTAGTGGGCCTGGTTTTCTGCTGTTTGAGAAGGTCAACAGTGACGAAATCAGCGGCATGAAAAAGTTGCGCCTTTTCCAAGAGGTATTTTAAGTGGCCCAACGCAGGCCGAATTCTTCCCGCTGTCGCCCATTCCCTCAACAAAATCTCCGAACAGAACCGTTTCGTCAAATTTGACGCGTTTTGTATAATACTGGAAGCAGTTTGTTATTTTCGAAAGACGCGAAATAATTTTTACTTACTGGAAATGTTCCGATCGATATTTTGGAGGATTATTTAGCGATATATCGCTCCGATAATCCTCAGTTAAGGTGGAAGGAATGATCGACATCAGTTTTTTCCAGGATTCTTCCTCCTCCAGATATTCAACAATTCTGGATTTTTCTGCCAAAGGTAATTTTCGGATTTCTAAGTTTATATTCATTACTATTATTATTATATTGGACGGTTAGAAGGCACTATTTGTATCTAAAAACAAATTAGAAAATAAAAATTGTCAATAACCTCAAATTGCTCAAGTCACCACATCGAGGGTTATGTTAGGCTGTCACCGAGTTGCCAACCGTTGTTAGACTTGGTAACTGAATGTTATGCAACCAGCAAAACGGATGCATTGTGTCTAGAACCAGAGTATTGTTGGGTGCATAAACAAAATAAATGGATGGTTGCCTACTTTGCGGGGATGATTTTTGGCTGCTGTATTCAATCCAAAATTATATGAAATACTTATTAAAGCAACATACATATTAGAGCTTAGATCATTTCATTTTGATAAATACACCTCTCACAATTTTTTACTTGTAAATGTTAATTTCTCCAGTAAATTATTGGGTCTACAGTTGCACTTTTCTGAATTATTATTGTTGACTTGAAAAATGGATTTCATATTCACTGTTTAAAAGATCACTTGCTAAAAGTGAAGTTAAATGTGGGATATTGTTAGGTACGTTGTCTTCTAATTCCTCTGATTTTAATACAATGGGAGCTGCTGGTCCTTTAGTGGGTCTTGTGGGTTCTTGTTTAAGAAGATCAACAGTAACGAAATCAGCGGCATGAAAGAGTTGCGCTTTTTCCAAAAGGTATTTCAAGTGACCCAAGGTGGGCCGAATTTGTCCTGATGTGCCCCATTCTTTCAACAGAATTTCTGAGCAGAAGCGTTTTAACAGGTTCGACGCGTTTTGTATTATGCTGCAAGCAGTTTGCCATTTTTTTTTTTAAACTGAACAGTGTTTGTAGTACCGACTTACTGGAAATGCTGTGACTGATATTTTGGGGGGTTATTTAAGGCTCGCGTCTGGATCGGTTTCGCCCTATACTAAATACATTGAAAACATCGTCGTGGTTTCCGGAGTTGCATTTTAAAAATACGGGATATATCGCTTTAAAAAAATTATATTTCGAATTAACAAACTTGAGTCCAGGGGACCTCCATATTTATATTCATATCTAGTCCGCAGTTTTTACAAAAAAAAATTATAAAGTTGACCAATTTTTACACCAGATTTAACCGGTACATTGATGCATTTTTTGAAGAAGTGCTGAAGTGATTTGCATTCTGAGATAGGAGGTCCCCTGGGGAAAAGTGTGAGCTTTCTTTTGATACCATTTATAATCCTAAAAAATTCACAACTGAGGTAAATAACTCTCGAAAAGACAGAATCTGTTGAAACGAGAAATCGGCATTAAACGAGCTATGATGCCGTAGCAGAATACAGGTTTACTTAGATTCTGGTTTGGTTGCAGACTTAATTTAATGTGGACCTTGTCCACCAGGGGGAGCTGTTTTTACTCAGCGATTTATCGGAATAAAATTTTGATATCGCATTTCCGATTTTACAATACCATTTCGGTTTTTAGAAGTGACAAAATAACGTATCCATCTTTTTTACTAAAACAGTAAAAAAGATGGATACGTTAAAAGTTAGTTATTAAGTATGTTTTATTTAAGAGATCAAAAGGTATTTACAATCCTCCGCAGCTGAGGCACATATAAATCTGTTTTATATTAATTATTTTTTATCCTCTATGAAAAAATAAAATTGAAACGTGTTTTATTATATATACTCTGAAACGTCATTGAGTTGTTGGTGAAGATGAAAAAAGTAAAACGATGTCAAAGTTTTGTAATCATAATCAACCTACGCCGATATAGGTATGATTAAAAAGAGATGAATTGATGGCAGGTAGAAAAGCATATTATCTTCTGTAGGACAGTAACAGAACAAATCGGGTTAGCGACTTTCTATCCAGACTGTAATACTCAGTATAATTTATATATGTTTTAGGCAGACACTGACAAAGTGGTAGTAACATTGGCAACTGTTCCAAAACTGAGTTTTGCCGAAAACAGGTACTTTACGTGCATTTCAAACAATAGGACTCTACCATTTCTACCAGCCAGATGTAAACAACCACCTACAATAAATTTAACAACTTTTGTTTGTCACCGGAAGTGGGACTGGTATTGCGGACTGAAATTATCCCTTGTACACGCTTTCGACTCCATTTGAGTAACAATTTTTTTCCGAATTTAAAATTACGTTCAAGCTGTTGTTCAAGCCTAAAATAAAATTTAAAATTAAATCTTTCCGAAACAGTATGGCAAATATGTAGTGAACAAAAAATATTTACACCTTATACAAAAAAATGAGGTTTACGATGCGCAAGCATATGATATACGTAAAATTAAAAGTGCAAGTCAAAGTTAATATGCATACAAAATAGCAGCTGCTTCTATTAAAAATTTAAAATTAATTATTTAAATCCTAGGGAGCAGTACGGCTCAGATAGCCCCTAGCGCGGCACAGCGATAGTGCTCATGAAGCAACGCTGTCCGCAGTCACTTTGTGGATGGGTGGCTAAGATCGCCATACCTATCTGAGCGGCTCGGTGCGTCTCCCCCCTCGACACCCAATGGGTAAAAGAGGGTAACAGATTATATATATATATATATATTTAAATCCTTACAAAACGATATACTAACAAACAGTTTAAGCAAAGTCAAATTTTTAAATAAACTGCCTTCTGCCATGCAGTTAGCCGCCAAAATAATTAACATGAATATTTTAGTACTTACATAAAAAACCACCGTTGAATGCTTAGAATTACTTGCATACAACGTACTAATGATTTGCGTTGAAGAAAGTAAAAAATTTTGCTATGTGGCTAATAGCTTCAAGGACACGCTATTATTCATTTTCAAACGATTGCGGCTAATAATTTTAACAATTTATTGTTATTTACTTGGTAAATATATTTTTATTTTTATTACTATTGTTTTGTTGCAAACGATAAAGTAAATAACAAAACCAAACTCTTATACATTATTAAGTTTAAGAAAAATTTTCCGCCAAAAATATTCTATTTGTAATGAATGGGCATCTCCGAGAGTGCAGATAGTAGGAAAATAATAAAAATATTTACTTATACCGGAAATATTGTTAATTCTCTTATTTCAAGTTTAGCCTACAAATGTGGAAAATCCCTCCCGTTCGTAAATAGTACCTTGGCGCGACCAATTTTTGCTTTACATGATGTTCCTGTAATTCAGACAAACAACACATCCTTGATAGGAATAAATCACATATCTACAGATGATTCCCCGACAGTAGGAGGTACTTTAATATTTACATATATTTAATATATTTACCGAAAACAATTTAAGTACGGAAACAAAATAAATAACTGGAAAGAATTAACTGTAGCCAAAATAGGAAAATGAATCAGTGAGTTTTACATCTTTCCGGTTTTGAACGGTCAAGGGTAAATTCAGGTACCCGGGTTTTGTTTGCAATTATTATGGCTAGACAGGCACTGCGGCTTGTGTACTAAAACTTATTTCCGTACAGTAAAATGTAGAATTCTACGGATCGGTGCTGCATTTATTCACATTTTAGCAATTCACTAACAGGAGGCAGCATCTCCCGGGTCGTTTTATTCTCACTTTGACCAGGCAGATATTTGGCCTCCAGACGCGAGCCTTAACGTCTAAACCGGATGTTGTAAATATAAATAGTTCTGCAAATGTTTTTAACGAGGGGTTGGAAGAGATGAAAAACCTAGAATGGATTTTAAATAGTCATAAATTAAATCAGAACTTAAGTTTCATAAATAACAACTACGAATTAACTGGTGTAACATTATCAAAATTAGAAAAACAAAAATTGCCCCTAAGTGAATCCGTACAGCTAATGGATAATTAAAAAATATATATCAATAAAGCACAAGGTCCTATTGCTCAGTCTCACAGTCTCAAGAAAACTAGACGAAGTCCTTAGTAAAAATGGGGGTTTTATTAGACTAGTTAATGTGGCAAAAGTTTTAGATGGACAGTTCTCAGATAAGGTGAATATAGACCCAAAAAGAAATTTTTCTTGGATATTTTGCATATATATATGCGCATATTTACATGTTTTTTTCTGCATATAATTCCGAGCTTTATCACTAAACGAAATATGTTTAAAATAAAAAATGTGATACATACCTGCATATTTTTTCGGGCGCGGGTTTTAAGTCCTGATCTCGCTGCTTCGTTACGTTGTTTTCTGCCTTTTCATTATGTGTGGTCTTTTGATTGGATTTTAGCTGACTCTCTCTTACTCTTTTCGGTCCGTGTATTTTTATATCTGTTTCAGAAACGGATTCTTCTTTTGGCCGACGTTCACCTATAGTGATTTCGTTTTCACTGTCTTCGGGTGATTCGTAGCCAGAATATATTTCGTCCTCTTCTTTCTTAATTTTTCTAACTGGCTCGTCATCGCGAGACCGTATTTTGGCAAGAATATATTCTCACCAACAGTCTAAAAAAATAATTTTATTAAAAAAATGTACCAAAAAAAGAAATTATATTAATTACCTTTTTTGTACGCATGTCGCTTAAGCCAACCACAAACAAATGTTTGTTTTCGCAGTCCTCGACAGATGGGTTCGTATACTTGATATACACTTGCGAGGCTCGACCACCGGCAAAAATTTTTCTTCCACTGCAAATTTAGACGGGGAAGGTGTATAAACTGTAAGATGAAAATATCGGTATACCAAGAACAAATTTTTCTAAAACTATGCTTACTGTGATACATCATGGCTTGCCGGCACGGATTGAACATCGTCGATCTTCTCCGATGCGAATCTTCGTCTTCCAGAACGAAATTTAAAGCGAGCTAACAACTAAATGAAAACCAATGAGGGATGAGGGTATAAGAACCGTAATTATTGCCGGTTTCCTTTGCAGGTGACTAACGGTTCTTGAAGCCAACGCAGATAACAGGGTGCACTAAACTAGGTAAAGGATTAAAATGAAGACCTTCTTGGAATAATAATGTTTTTGATTTACAATTTGTCGTGGAGCACTGTCTCAAATTCGTTACCTGCAAAAACCTGTGAAGGGCGGACGCCAACTGGGCAGCAACTAATCGCAGGTAAATTTTGCGGGTAGTTACGATAGGCCAACTCGGCACCGAACCCCAAATAAAGATCGGCGAACTCGGCACTACAGCACCAGGTATGGTAACAAGTA